TTGTTGCCAAAAAAAATTTACTTTAGAATTAGGCAATTAACTGCAGCAGTATTCTACTTCTGTAATTGCACGAGCAACTGGGAGTCCTAAATGGTTTTTCTTAGTATTTGAGCTGGTATCTGCAATAAAACTGGGCATTACGAGGATGCTGTCCAGATCATGCTTTGAGTCATACCGTTATTGACACCCTGGATGTCGTTGAATTGGTGGATGCAGGTAATCACTAGGTCTAAGCTGTGAACTAGCTCTAGTATAAATTGTAGTTAATGAGCTCATTTCCATTGAAGTTCCAGGATGAGGAGCAGACACAGATTGAAAGCTGTTTGGACGAAGTGAGTCAGTTGAAAAGGTTGAGCGCTGAACATCCAGCCAAAATTGATCAGCGCTTCAAAGACATCAATCAACTGAGGAATCTGTCAGCTCTACTTGGTTTTGTTAGGTTCATCCTAAGTTTCGTCCTGTTTTAGGTTCCGTTGTTGTTTTACCAGTTCTACGAAACTGGCTTATGGTCACGTCACACCTCAAAGGTAGCTTGATTATCGGTCTTTTTGGGTTACGAGTTGTTGTCACAAATGCATTTAAGTTGAATCTCAGAATCGGGACCTAGGAAATTAGACGAAAAGCAAATTAGACGTGAACAACAAAAACAAATTTAGACGTCGGTGCAAAATTACAAATATGGGAAATGAGACGTAATTGTATTGTTCGTGTCTTAAATTTGTTTACCGACTACAATTAACTTTCGTTCAGCTTTCTTAAATGCAAATCAACTTTTCATATGCCGCAACTTTCACATTGCGCATTTTTAACATGCCGCAATTGTATAATTTATGCATTTCAAAAATGTTTTATAATCTTGAAATTAACATTTTATAAATCAATTGAGATAAATATTTTGATATGCAATGGGATCATCTATTATTTTTGTAATAATGAAAACTTGTTTTAAGCAATAAGTTTTGTTAGCCCTTTGCTTTCCGTCTTAAATGCTAGTTTTTCAAAAACAATTTAACGTTTAAATTCGTTTTTGTTTGTCACGTCTAATTTGCTTATCGTCTAATTTCCTAACCCCCCACAGAATCATCTCAGGATCTCAGAATCAAAATAATTGCAACTAAAAATTGTAATTAGCGGGTGCATGAACGTTTTGTTACTACTATAATAAAGTGGTCCCGCGAAAAAGCAACTGTCATAGACGGGTACCGCATGCATTTCGCATTTTATAATTTTGACAACCAATTGACAACTAATTGGCAATAATTTTGACATTTCAAAAATCTCGCAAAATATTTTGAGTCAGAAACTTTTCAGATTAAAAACTGTAATATATAGATATTAGATATTGTGTACATCAAGACATATGCTCGCTTCAACTTACTTTACGGTTTAACAACCGTAATTGTGTTAACCTATTTGTCATCAAAATTCAAATGGCGAGAGAAGTTTTTATGAAGTACCAAACATAAAATTTGTATACAAATATACTGCGACATGTGTCCGAATGGCGAAATAAATAATTGTTTAACGATTTGAGAGCTCTAGGTGTCGTATTTTCATGGGACCTGGTTATTTTCAAGGGACCATTCTATCATAGTTGTACCAATGTTGTAATTGCAAAACAGATATTATCATACGTTTTACTGACAGATGATTGTGTGATTATAGTCAACCCTTTATGATACAGCACAATTAACAAGCTAAGTAATTCGATCCAAACTGATGCTAGACTCTATCTAGCGTATATTCAGCAATCGTTTAAGACAAAATTGAGCCAAAAGCATTAATGTTCCGGCATGGGCGGATCTAGGATTTTCTCGGGGGGCAGTTTTTCAAAAAGATATCGAAAATGTTGTCGACCTTTTGTTTTTTTTAGGTCGAGCAAATTGCTTTTCGGAGCTCCCCCAAATAAGTATATAGACCCCATTTCGACCAGATTGTCTGCACCGCAGGAACTTTTTGAAAAAAAAACAGGCCAAAAAGGCGTTTTATGGCAATTTTTGGAAATTCTGACCAAAAATTGTGTTTTTTCGGCGCTCCCCCCCCCCCCTCAAAGTTAGCACGCATTTGGAAAAATTTAAGGTCAGTCAGCCAAAAATGGATGTCTCAAAATGGTACAAAGGGGGAGCTTTTGGGTTAGCAGGGGGTCGAATCCCTGGGGGACTTCTTGATGGAAAATCTAACTGGAAAAGCTTTGATCTAGTGTGATTCGCGCCGTTGAATGAGATACAACATTAACAAATTCATGTTACAGTGTAGGTTATGACAACCAACTCTTTCAAGAAATTGGAGATTTCAAAACAAAAATACAGATTTTCCTAGAAATTATTCATCAAGTATAAATTTTATCGAGTTTAACGAAGTATCGTTATCCGGGACGAAAAAACGGTGTCTTTTGTTTGAATTTCAGTTTGAAATAAATCAATTATTTCGTCCCCTGGAAAATTAGTCAAACTACCGAATATTTTTCCAGAACACGTCCATTTTTTTTATCTATTCGGATGCAGACTCTTTATATTCTAGCTTGCAGATATATTTTAAGATACGACTTTCGATATTTGCAGATATGCTTTTAATACAACTGGCTGATAGATTTAGTTTGAAAAGGTTTTGGTGCTTTTTTAATTTGCTATTATGGTCAGCTTGATTTGGTAATTGGAAATTTGGCGCTCAGATTTCGCTTACGTGCTCACTTGCAAACTATTTCCACGGACTTCTTATGTCACTTTTGTTGTTTTAAAATGAAGATAGTGTTATTTGTTTTCCAAATTAGCTTACAAATTCCGAGCATAGGTCGGGTATTTATTTTTCGACTCAAAATGGGTATATTTGAGGGATGTAAAACAATAATTGTTTAGGGCCATTACGGCCATACCAAACCATACAATAACTGGAGGGCGCTAACACTATTAGGGCAAAAATTTATGGGAAAAATATTCCATATCAACCCTTTTTTGTGCAATTATGGAAACTGAGCTGTGCAGTTTTGTAGCAAATACCTACTGAGTAAGGTCTGCGTGATTTCATATTTTCTGTGGCAGAAGAGTTTTAGCTGCAAACTGTCTTGGAGAAATTGAAAGATTTTGAAAGTGTCAGCAAGCATCTTCAGAAGGATGCCGCAAGCATGGGAGAAGCACCTGCATTATTCGATTCTTTACTTGATGTTTATCCTGATTTAATTAGGTGCCTTGGCTCTGGTTTGGGCATGACAGCAAAAGACACCATTCTGCACTCTCCGATTTTTGGAAGTGCAGTTTCAAAGTTTGCAATGGCGAATCGCTGGTGGCGGAGGAATTAGCTGAAATTCAGAGTGTCATTCTGCCCGATCTGACTGTGGTTGAAAATGAAGAACTTTCTTTCTCTGAGAAGTGTCTTCGCGCAAAAAGACAGAAAATTGATAAAAAGTTCAACGATTTCAGCTGGATACATTGTACCAGCAATCGAGTTGAAAGATCGTTCAGTGTTGCCCGTGGGATTTTCACTGACTAACGGAAGAAGTTGAGCCCTGTCAATCTTGAAGCCCAAGTTATTCTGCATGTTAACGCCCGTTATTGAGATATTAGCACAATTGCAACAATTTTGTAAAAAGACTAGATTTTTCGGAAGTAAAATCAGCTTTTTGTTTAATGGTTTTGTTGAATTTACCATATTTACCCCTATTTTTCCATAATTGCCATAATTGCATTAATTTATTGGAGGCACAGCAGCCATAACAATATTGGAATTTCGGCGTGCAACAATATTGCCATACCATATTTTACATCCCTCGTGTATTTCGATATTTGAGACCCAAAACACGTATGTTTCAATCATCTCGACTCAAAATGTGTGTACTGGGTGTAAACACGACCGAAGTGTACTGCGAGACCCAAAAAATTCCTTTTGCGACTTTGAGGGTTCAGCCAATGAGCGCCTTCCGTATCCCATACGATTGAATGTTGCAAAACTACGGGATGCTCGGGTGTGAAGTTATTGTTCCGTCTTTTTTAAGAAAGCAAAAAAGTATATGACCTGGGAGAGCTTTTTTATTTAGAACAAATTCAAACACTATTTATTATCTCCCTCGGGGGATCGATACCTTCTTCTGCATGGTCCCAGCCGGGTAATACACAGCACTATACTATCTTGACAGGAGTCAGTCAAAACTCGGCGAACTATCACGCGCTACAACGTTCCAAATTGAATTGAGACAATGAGCTAATTATGTGCTGATAATTCCATACAATTTTTGGTACTACTATGATAGAGTGGTCCGTCGAAAAAACAATACAATAGACAGTTACCGGACACTATTTTCTATATAAATTATTCATTTCAAAAAGCTAGCAAAACACACAAATTTTTCAGATTAAAAACTGTAGTTACTTTTTTGTCTATATCGAGAAATATGGTCGCTTGAACTTATTTTGAGGTTTAACCACCATATTTTGTCATCAAAACTCATTTTTGGCATTTTTTTTAAATCTTGCATTTTGATGTGCAGAGGTGAGATGTTTTACCAAGTAACAAAACCAAAAACTTGTTTGGAAGGATAGTGCGACATCTTTCTGACAAACGAAATGCAAATTATTAAGCATTTGAGAGCTTTAGATGTCTTATTCTCAAGGGAACTGGTTAATTTATAGGGACAACTCTCTCATAGTATTATCCAAAGTTTAACACTATAAATTTGATTTTTTCAGCCTAAAGTTCATAGTTTTGCCAGTATTTAAAATAATAAAAACTATCGGAGAGCAATTAAAGGGCAGCCGGAACATTCAGAGATTTGTCTTGATAAAAGCAGTCTTATTATTCTCGTTGTATTACTATCATAACAAGTAGCTACCAGATAAACAGTTTTGTTGCTCATAGTTGACGATTTGAAACACAAAGTTGATATGCAGTTCTGCGTCTGATGGTTTTTGCAGTTTGAACCTCTTGAAAACATAAGTCAATTGTGACAAAATGGAGTAAACAGGTTTTCAGAAAGGCTTTTGATCTTTAATCGCTATTTGCTAATCCAAACTGTAGAATCCAAACACTTAAATTCGCATTTGATTGTTAATTATAACCAGATTTACCACTAACTCAAAAATTCATCTTTGTCTTCGCTAGCAAATCAATTTCTTCACTGCTTAGCTCTAACTAAGGTACTGGTGGCATTATCTGCACTAGCAGAAAGTCTCATCCAGATGAATGCTTTCCCTGTGTAGATACTTAACGCAAAGATAACTGCTCCAAAAGCAATTTTGAGATTTAGGCGTGTCCAATACTGGACGAAGGTTCCATCCATAGTGCTCACATCAAGGTTAACTTCAACATCAGAAGCCACGACAACCATTCGCACCGTTTGAACTACTTTCTCTAGCTTGAACAGAAAATTAAGTGTCATTGAAAACTTTTTTCACTTGTTGAGTGGGTGATGAAGGATTAAAAATAGCGTAAGTCTGACTATCGCTTGCTTTACTGGTGAGTTTTAAAGATATTTTTATCCAGATAAACTAAAATAAAATTTTTAGCCACTTTTCTTTTTGAAGCAAAATTTTGTTTCATTCAGCAAAATTTCCATTAAACTTTGCTAATAAAGCCAGCGATAGTTCTATCTAAGTTTTATAAATCATTAATTTCCCACACAACAAGTAGGCAAAATGAAAATTAATATCTCTTTAAGAATTCGATAATTTAGTTCAAACTACGGGAATGGCCGTCGGATTTTCTGATTTTGGAGATGACCTTATTGTGAGAACAACGGATTCAACCGTCGTCCCTCAATTCCAAAAAAGCAGTTGGTGATGCTACTCTGGTTTAAGTGGTTCCCAAGTCTATTACCCTGCGCCTTCTAAACCTCTTTTTCTTAACCCAAAAAAAGCAGAATTAGATGACCCCACTTTAATTTAACACTTTTTAAAACTAATCGTTAGAATCGAAGTGAGTTTTTCTTGAAAAAGTTTCAAAACCATAGCGTCAATTATTATCAAAACTTTGATTGAGAGAATTTTTGCGAAATAATTTGAGATAGCAGGCACGCAACTAAATGCTGCTTTGGTTTGAACAGAAATGACCTTTCCAATAGTCTAGACTTTGACATAAACTTGAAACTTAATTCAATCGGGATTTCAAATCAAAAAATGAAAAAATTAAAAATCTCCGAAAATGAAAAAATTCCTACCAACAAAAAGGCAGTTGGTTGAAACTAAACGAAAAAAATTGATTGCAAACTGCCTCGGGCCAGAGAGCTAATGTAATTGGTTTTTTTAAAATACATCGTTCATTTTAAAGAATAACTGTGCTTTTTTATCATTGTTAGGGTACAACGCAAAATCTAAAGGATTTTCCGACCCCTAGTTGTAACCTAGCCTCCAAAAATAAGAGCAATTGTTCCGGGATCAAATTAGTAGAGATGGTATTTGTTGAAAAGAAGTCGATGGAGTGCAATTTTTACGTCTCCCGGGTCTGCAAGCTGTCGTCTTTTAGATTAAAACGACATGAAAACTATATTTCAAAATATGTACCAAAAACATATGAAACATTATTAGGCCTATTTTTGCCATATTATATTGCGAAACAAACGCAAATCAGTTTTTTCTTGGTAAATTAACATTCTGATACTATGATCTGCTAGCTAGGATCGGATACTTTTTTTTGTAAAAAGATGCCACTCGAGGAACTAAACAGATTGAGTTTTCGTCTAGAGGCGATGTTTTGCATGGTAGCCATAACCTTCCAATTCCTAACCTTGACGCAAGTCACTTAAGTATGAATATGAACAATAAAGCCAGCTCTCCATATCGTTTGTTGTTCTTGTCGAACCGGATATTGCCACATTGCCTTAGCTCTTTTAGTGAAGGGGGCTGAATTTCTTAATTCAAACTGAACATTTTTATGCGGTTTGATCAAAATTAAAGGCAAAACTCAAAAAAAGCATTTCGAAAACCAATCAATAACTTTAAGTCAAAACTAACTAAAAACATTGTTTGCTTCGTAATCGGTTGTCAATGCGAACTCTTAATTTTTCCTCATGAAGCATTGAGGAAAGTCAAAGAACCATCCAGACTTCTTGAATCAATAAAAAAAGTTTGAAGGCTTGAATAGTGGCGAGCTCAAAATCAAGCAAATTTCTCCAAATCTACCGTCAAGGGGGCTGTTTTTTAGGGCCTCTAAAAGCTGATGGTAAGTTTTTCTTTTGATTTACTTGGTTAAATAGGCATACTTACTAGCAGGGGTTTTTTCTGAAAAACATACGTGTGTCGAGTAAAAGTTAAATCATTTTAGGGATGAATTTGAATGTGCTGTATGTCAACAAAAAAATATGGTTTTTCTAGCACACAGCTTTTCAGGGCCATAATTAAAAAAATCTCTCTTTTGGTCAATTGGTATACCAACAAATCTTGTTAAAAATCTGCAAAATTTTTGATTCCGAGGAGACTGGTAAATCCTGTTCTCGCTGCTTGTGCATGAGATGTTCTTGCTGAACAAAGATTATTTTATTGATGGGCAGTGTCATCAGTTGGTGTATGACTATTGGTCATATCCTTGATGTTTTTCAGAAGCAATTAAGTAACAGGTGTTTTCGTATAGATGTCATAGTAATGTGAGCCCCTCTTTTCAAAGAAACTTTTTTCTCGGTAGTTGTATTGCTCGGCAATCATGGTTTTACTCTTACATTTGAGATAATATTCGTGGCCTGATAAAGACACGCTAGCAACAATGAGTTTTTAAACAGAGATACACTTGCGATTCACGAATATTAAGCCGCAGTGCAAGCAAACAGACGAAAAAAGCCAATAAATGAAAAAAAAATTGAAATGAACATCATAAAAATTTTTTTAAAAAATAAAAATTAGGTCTGGAACCATGTTATAATTGCGGAAAACACAATTGAGGAAGATTGATTTAAAAAATAAAAAATCTCAACCAACAGAAAGTAAGCCGAAAAAACTTAACAAAAAGTCCCGTAGAGCCGAAAATGTAATTGTTGTCATAAAATCATTTCAATTATAAGTTCTATCTTTTGAAATATAGTAATTTGTGCAATCCTGAATGAAGCACAAATGCTAAGTGTTCATTAAAACCACCCCAAATAATGTCACTAAGCTGACAACACCTAAACCGATATCTTTTGAGTCGCATGAAACTTTAAAGCGAAAAAAACTGCGAATTTTTTTTTCATTCAAGCATAGTAAAAAGTGCAATTTGCAGGAGTATATCAAAACACGCAAGTATACTGCAGTAGGATTTTGAATTAAAACCGCAATTGTGTATTGTTATTCTAATTAGCACCTTGTAGTTTTTTTTGTTTTTTGAACCCGTGAGTGAAGAAGCTAATCAAAATCCAATCAATTTCGAGTTACTGAATGCATCGATTGGATTTAGAAAAACTTCTCTCGCCTCAATTAGTGCTCCTAATTGGAATACCACTATGGTTGTTAAAGATCCCAAATTGAAACATTTTATTGTTAAAAAAGGGAATTGAGTTTTTGTGGGATTATCTTGTTATAAAAAGTGAGTTGAATCATAGCGGGTTTCATAACGCGGGGATAAAGAGCCGGACTCTGTTTTAGGTTACTACATGACCCGCGGATCGACACCTTTGACATGCCGACAGTTCAAGTAGGGACACCGTGATTTGATCCATGCCGGTAATTTTTGATAAAAATTTCTCTCTGCCAAGAAAAAAGAAGACGAAGTGGAATCTTGCACTACTTGCGATGCAAAACAAAACTAGCAATGCAAGTCATGAAAAGAAAGCCATTATTCAAAAAAATTGAAAAAAAAAATTCAAAAAACCGAAACTTGCAAAAAATCAAAACGTTGTCTGAAAGCATGTTCTCTCAATCTGCTCAATACACAATTTTAGCTAATTATGAATTTCGAAAAATAAATGGCAATCTGCAACTGAGCCGAAAAAATTTAAATAATTTTCCGTAGAACCGAAAAATAGTTAATTTTATGAAACACTTTGAACTATAATTTCTATTCTAAGATTTATAGCTTTTATCCGAAAAAACCGTAACAATTATGCTTCTCTTAAAACAACCCAAGTTAGGGCATTTAACTAATAAAAATTAGGACAAACTCATTTGTGCCTGATAAACTTTAAGCGAAAAAACAAAACAGCAAAAAACGAAGCAGCAGGAGTAATTTGAAAAACTAAAATTAACTAGTTTAAGAAAAACTTTCAAAAAAAAATTCTACAATTTAGCAAATAAGCAGGTAAAACATAAGCTGACCAACAGGCCAAATTTTTTGGAAGGGAATAAGTCTAATTTGAACATTCCAGTTCCTGGCCAGATTCAAACTTGGTCAGATTCTGTTAAAACAAATTCTAACCCGAAAAAAAGTCTGTAATCCGATTTGACAACGCTTGCTAATCGCAAGCGTAAATTTTTCAAACCGGTTTTTCTAGTCACGGAGAAAACTTTGTCAGGCGTTGCTACCTAAGATTAAATTGTGTAAGGAGGAGCATAAATTAATTGTAAGTTGTTCTTTCATTCGGTTTTTTGTTAGCTTACAGACATTTTTTTTGACACCGATTGCAGTTTGGGCTAGTTTTAGAGCATCGAAGTATATCCTCAAAATGGAAAGCTTTCATGAATTTTGAATTAGAAACCTTCAAAAATCATCTGGACAGAAAAAACTTCGTCACTTCGTCAGAAAGTTGAATTCAGCAGCGATCATTTGAGCAGATTTGCTTCAAAAAGTTTCTGAATCAACACTTTAAGATTTTGAGATCTAGTGATTTTGTGGCAAAAAAGATGCTCTACAAAAATTTCCTCAATTATCAATTTTCAGATCAGCAAATTCAGTCGAGATTTGTCAAAAAAAATAAAAGCAAAATAGAAAATTTAATTTGTAAAACTAATTTTCGATGAAAAATTTCGAATTTTACTAAATATTATAATTGATTTTCTGTTCAAGCGACACCACAGAAAATCAACTGAAAAGCATATGATTTTATCAGTTTACTCATGTTGTTTTATAGTCAAGAAAGTCGAGAAAGTCGAAACATAGGTCTAAAATTGTCAAAGCATACCCATTTTTGATCGAGAAAGTCGAAACATAGGTCGAGCTCAGTCGAAGAAAGTGATCAATCATTAGCGCTCGGGTAATTTTGTTAACCAGACCAAAATTGTTTTTTTTTTGCTATTGTGCTTGTCGAATAAATTTTTGTGACGTAGAGATTGTACTTGAAATCTATTTAGTTTCACATTTTTGTGATCTCGAGACTTGAGATAATCCTTGCTCAACCCATTGTTTGTCATGACGCCTGAAACAAAACTGAGATGAATCAAACAAATTTTGTGTTTTTTGCCTGTCGAGACAGTCGAATCACGTCCATTTTTGGTCAATAAAGTCGAAAAATATCTACGCGGGGGTCAAACAAGAAAATTTTAATAAACATAACAAAATTTGGTCGAGACGTTCAAAACATGCCGATTTTTCGCCGAGAAACACGAAACATGAATCGAGCGTCTCAACCCGAGAAAGATAAATAAATGATCTTATGATCTTATTAGAATTACTACTGTACCCTTTTTGCCCGCTGAAAATTATTGACTCTCCTCTTCAAAATACAATATTCAAACTTGTAGTTTTTATTGTTACCAATTCTCGACGAAATTCTCTCTTCATTGCCTTATCGAATTACTACTCTGTTCTTACATCGTTAAATTTAGTAGTTTTTTTGATATCATAAACTTATGTTATTGGCACATTTGTGACAAATCGATAGAAAACGACAAAAATTATGCTTCCAATTTTTGTCAATTTGTTTATTTTTTCATTTTCGATTATCAAGTTCGCCTTAACCGATGACATTGTTGTTAACTCTACTGTGATTCAACCTGCTTGGTCTTCATTAGTGTTTATTATTCCCCTGGACTTTCCTTATAACTACCCCAGGTCATTGTGCAAGTTCCACAGTTTGCATTACTGTTTGTTTGCGTTCGTCACCCCAAATGACGGTAAGATTTTTTAGGTTGCAAGTTCTTAACAAAAACAGAAAAAAACTGAAAAAATGATTGAAAAATTAAATTTTAATTTTAGTTGAATCTAAGATGCAAGCATCTTTCCCGGTTGACAGCCGTTTTAAATTGCTTAGATTGTTCGCATTTTGAATTGTTTTTTCATTTTTCTGAACTTCAGCTAGATCAGGAAAAAAATTGTTTAAGATACAAAAAACTGTGCTAAAATGTTTGAAGCAAATAAATAAACTTATAAAATAAAATAGTCCTGTTGCCGTAATAATTAGTAGTTCTGTTTCGTTTTTAGTTTTTTTTTCAATTTTCGATGAAAGTGACGGAATATTTGGGCTTGGCTTTTTCCTCAAGACAAATTTAGTCTGTTTTAATAGCAGTTTTTGACGGATTTTTCTATATCACTTGAAAACTTTTGTTAACTTGAAGTCGAATTGAAAAAATATTTCTCTTTTCACCTTTGTAATAAAAAAATCGGGGTTCAAAGATTGTTGTTTTTTATGCAATTTGGGACCGTTAACGCGCAGTTAACAGTGCTCATTTAAACTATCCGGACAAGACAAACAAAATTTGAAAGTTAAAACATTTTTTCAATTTGTGTCGACTTTAGTCGAAAAATTTACCCTAAATTTGTGTCGAAAAATTTACCCAAAAGAAAGATCTTTTGGCATTTTAGACAATAAACATTTATGCCAATACTACCGGTTTAATTGGTAAAAAAAACTATTCTAAAGGGAGCCTCTGATTTCGCCAAACAAAAATTAAGAATTGTATGATGTCCAAAAACTTAAGCAAAACGCTCTATAAATATTTCCAAATAAAAAATTGGCATTTCAGATAGTAAAAAAGACACTTTCTGGCTATTAAACAAAAGCCATTTTTACACTATATTTGAAAGGTTATACTCTTCTTAGAATTTTTTGACAACACAAAAAGCCGTTTTAGAAATAGCTTTTAAGGAATCGATCTGGTATTTCTGGTTTATATTTTATTGAGCAAAAATGAACAAAGATTATCTGTCTTGGGTTAAAATTTTGGACCCGATTTTTTCAAAATGAAGTGCAACATAATAGCTACGTTAAAATTTTGAACAATTTTTGTACTCAACTTTTTGTCCAATTCCAACAAAACTTGAAAAAAGTAAATTTTAAAATTCAAGTTTTATTGGTTTTGTCCGGATAATTTGAAGCAGCACTGTAATTCGTGCTATAAATGCGTAAGAGGTGATTAAATCTGTCTTTGAGCTCGTTCGAGCTTGAGATGAAGTATGCTACAAAATCTAGTTCATACATTTCTATGTCACTTGGTATTTTACATAGTTTGGGGAGGGATGATTTTCAAAAGTTTTTGTGAAAATGTTCAAAAGTTTTCTGTGAAAATGTCAGTATTTTTTTGAAAGCTAACACTACTCCAATGACCTAAAAAGGCAGTCGACCATTCAAGGCTTCGCCCTGATGCGAACAATTTTGTTTCTTTTTTTTATTTCGATCAGCTTTGAAAATAAGAAGGCTAAGCTATATTTTAGCTTCACTCTTATTGGGAATATATGCGGCTCTTCTTCTTCAAATGAAATCTCAATAAGTTTTTAAGTTATTGTATTAACATGCTCAAGTTATGGTCCAAGAAACAATTCTTTGATCGGTCCATTATTCAAAATTATTTTATTAAATTTTGCCTCGTTTCAATACGAAGACTTAGATGCATAATGAAAAAAGCATAAAATGTTGCAAAAAGATTAATTTTCTGAACATTATCTTAGGCTACAATACATTAAAAAGCAGTCTCTAAACACCACGGAATTTTTGGAGTAAATTTCAATACTTTGAAATTTTGTACTACCTCAGGTTGACAAAAAATGCTTGTCGTCCAATTCCATCTTATGGGAAAAAAGCTTATCATACAATTCCATTTTATTGAAAAAATGTTTAATATACATTTTCATACAATTCCATAGAAAAAAAGTTTTTTTCTTTTTATGCAATTTTTTAACAAGCATTTTTTCCTTTGTCTTTTGTATTTCGCTTTATAATTGTGTTTCGCCCTGAATACAAATAGCAGAAGTTTTCTCAAATGAGAACACCCACAAACTAAACGTCCTTAAATCGCATATATAACTACGTACTGCCTAATGCCAAACCAGATAGCTTTTGAAAATTACTCAAAAATATAACAGAAATTGTAACTTTTTATTATGGCTACGAGGCCTGTTTTAAAAAGCTGAAACGTTAAAATCGCTGACCGTTTTTTGGTTAGATTTAGGTTAAATCTTATGATAAAATAGTGAAAAATACAACTTCATCCATGAAAAACGTGATTTTTTTATGTATACAGATTGTGCGTGGAATACGTTATAAGCGAATATTTCGCATTCAAAAATATATATTTTTTTTGGAAAAACTGGTTTAGCGACTAAAAAAAGAACTAAGAAAAATTTGTCAATAGATTTGAAATTTTTGTATGGAAAAAATTTTTACCATCCAATTTTTAAAAAAAACTGCATGATAATTTTTTTTTTCATAGAACTCTTGAATGGAATTGTATGATAAGCATTTTTTGTATGGATTTGTCTGATCAGCGTTTTTGTTGTAATCTCGTCAACCCGGGCCTATGGGTTGAATTAATTCCCCGAAACTTTTCAAAATTGTATTTTTATTTAGATTATATAGAAGCTGTGACAGTAAGATGTTTGAAACGTTTGGTAGAAAATTGTCCATCAAATCTTAGTTGTGTTTCTGAGTTCTATCAAATTTTGCTCTAACTTTATGAATTTTCATTATAATTTAGATATGCTGTACAACCCGGCTTTTAGTGTGTCCAGGAGGAACGCTGATCCTATCGACGGTCTTCAATTATTGAAGAATGTTGCAAGCAAACAAAACGAGGTTCTGTACAGACCAGTGTACAAATTGCATAATCTTTATATCGTTCGTGAAGGCTGTTGTCAAGGAATGTATTGTGCAAATCGTCGAGATTCTAGCTTATCACAACTAGACGTTTGCTTTCAGCCTATTTCTAACTGCTTTTTTCATAAAGATTTAACGCAATTTTCATTGCGTTTTTTTAAACACCTTCCCAGCAACTAAATGGTGAAATCATCACAAGATACAACTGTTACATATAATCAGTCCTTCCAAAAGTCCTCTAAAGAGTTGAATTTTCAAAACTAGATAACAATGGGCGCCAGCAGTTAAGCCGGTCACTGTTCAAGTAGAACAGAATGTTCCGAACATAGTCCTAAGAAAAATAAATGTTATTTTTTAATAGTGTCGTTTTTCCTGCGTGGTATGATAAAAGTATTTTAAAAAACTGGAACTTAGGCTTGATCAACAGTCAAAGTAAAATAGGCAAATTGAACAACGTTGCCAGATAATGACAAAAAAAAGCCAATACAAAATCATTAAAAAGCAAAAAAATATATTGATTTTTTGAAGATTTTGATTCCAACAATGGCGCTAACAAAACTCTAAGAGAAAGTTATACTTATTTAAAATTATTTTCTGCTTTAATTAAAGATAAAAAGGCAATTTTAACTTTCACTCCATAAAAGAGCCTGCTCGCTTGCTTTTCCCGCCCGAAATAAGACAAAACATAAAAATTTTCAGGCCCGAAAAAAATTTTCTCCCCGTTTTACAATAATTCCTGGTTTGCTCGAGATACAATTAGTATCTTCTTCGTAGTTTTTTTAAATCCTAAAGTATTTTTATCACCTATGTCATACTTTCGAAAGTGAGATCACCACGAGAATCATACTCCTTGTCCCTCGTGTAAAAAATATATGGAAGATAAAGTAAT